ACGTGACAGGAAAGCTAGATGGCTAAAAGTGCAAGTTTGTCATAGATTCTGCATCTCAGCAAATCCTTGTGAGTATCAAGGTGTTAGATCACAAAGGATTAATAGAAGCCATACAGAAGCTCTGTGATGTGACAGTGCATTATGCAAGGTTGTGGGGACCAGTGTGAGTAACTATTGAGCTCATGGGCATAAAGGACAGACACAAAGTATATTTGGCTGACATTGAAGACCCATGCATATTAGGGTTGGACTACTTACTACCGAGGAAGTGTGTAATTAATTTTCAAAAAATTACGTTTGGGAACAACAAAGGCCAAATTCCAGTAAGTGTTGCTGCATCCATTGATTTACATATCACAGCCTTTAAGTCAATTACAATACCCCCTATGTCAGAAAAGATAATTTGGGGTAGAATAAAACAACATCCCCAAGGAATCCCAATGCTTGTGGAAGCAGTGGACGACCCCTCCAAACCAGTGGATGGGAAAATTGGAAGGTCACTTGTGGCAGATCATCAAGTAGTACCCATAACAGTGGCCAATTTCTCTAAATGTGATCAGACACTTAAGGAAGGGGCATTGTTGGGAGTGTGCCAAGAGATAGAGCCAGTCAATGTTAAAGCAAGAAAAACGACCATAAAGAAAGGACGTCTTCTCCCAGAACATTTAACTGACCTTTATAAGAAGAGTATAGTCCATTTGTCATCATCACAGGCTCTTCAGGTTAGGGAACTTTTGGTGAATTATGCAGACGTCTTTTCAAAAGGAGATCATGACCTCGGCTGCACAGACCTCATGTATGGTCTAATTATGAAGGAGTAGTCGAGAAATCAAATAGTCCTTGGTCAGCTCCCGTCGTGTTAGTCCAGAAAACGGATGGGACCCAACGTTGCTCTGAGGACTTCAGGGCTCTTAACAGTATAACCGAAAAATACTCATACCCTCTGCCAAGAATTCATGATACTCTTGATGCCCTATTTAGAGCCAGGTGGTTTTCAACTCTAGAATTAAAGTCAGGTTTCCGTCAAGTGAAAATGGCTGAAGCAGATAAACCTAACACTGCATTTAGTTATGGCCGAGGTCTCTGGCAATACTGTGTGATGCCATTCGGGCTTAGCAGTGCTCTGGCAATATTTGAGAGGCTGGTGGAAATAGTACTGGAAGGCCTACAATGGAGGATAACTCTAGTGTACCTGGATGATGTCATCGTGTTTGCAACAACGTTTGATGAGGAAATGTCCCGGCTAGAGAAAGTATTCAAGCATTTAAAAGCAGCAAACCTTAAACTCCATCCCAAGAAATGCCACTTGTTCCAGAAAGAGGTGCTTTACTTCGATCACTTTGTAAGTGAGCATGGTGTGCAAACTGATGCTGACAACATGAAAGCAGTGCATGATTGGCCAACACCAGACAATGTAGGAGAGTTAAGAAGTTTCTTTGGACTCGGTACCTATTACCGGAAGTTTGCGAAGGACTTTGTAACTATAGCTGCTCCACTACATGATTTAACCAAAAAAGGTCAGTAGTTTGAATGGACAGTTTTTGGCAGCATGCTTTCAAGACATTGAAAGAAAAATTGGCCTCAGCTCCACTTCTAAAGCCTCCAGATCCCTCACTGCCATACATACTGGATTGGGATCTAGTAATGTCGGAATTGAAGGAGTGTTGTCTCAAAAAATGGCTGAAAACGAACATGTGGTGGCCTACTTCAGTAGGGTTTTGAATAGACCAGAGAGGAACTACTGTGTAACATGAAGGGTACTCCTTGCTATAGTAAAGAGTCTGACATATTTCCATCCTTACCTCTATGGTGCAAGGTTTACGATCAGGACAGACCATGCTGCATTACACTGGTTAAGATTGTTAATGAACCCATAGGGACAACTGGCACGTTGGATCGGAAAAATAGACCAGTATAATTATGATATTGAATATAGGGAAGAAAACTCTCCTGGAAATGCCGATGGATTGAGCCAAAGACCCTGCAAAAATGACTGCAGACATTGCTGCAAAAGAGAGGTTGAACTAACCAGGTGCCATCAAGCTGAAGTCAAAGTGACTGAAAGAGTTGATGATAGTGAAGTGGAACCAAATATAGATATCAAAGAAAGCAGGAGAAAGACCAAGATTTGAAACCAATAATTGATTTTCTTAAAACAAGTGTTTTGGGCCCTGTTTGAGAGAAGGTGTCTATCTTAAGCCCTATGACAAAGAACTATTGGGCACAATGGGACAGTTGAAGCTTGAAGATGGTATTGTTCTCCAGAGATGGGAAAGTGACGACCTGGCAAACGGT